GAGGAAGCACCTTCTTAAGTACTGCCAAAAGAAAGACAAAAGTATAATCATCAGAACTGCATGGAAAATGGCTGAGGAAGGCACCATACTGGCACACCATCTCTCATTAAGTCCAACCCTGCCAGTTTTTCCTCAGGTGTTGGAAAGGATTACTCTTGATTCATGGGAAAACCAGATGAAATGGCTGGCTTGCATTCATGTTGAAACAATGAATGGGATTTCTCTTTAAACACTCAAGCCACATTCGGTGAAGTGAAATGCTTCTGTTCCAAGGAGCACATGGTTCTGACTGAGGCCACTATTGCCACATACACATCTCCAATGTTCCCTGCTGCTGGTTCTCCACATGAGAAGAAAAGAAAATGGTAACACTTCCTCCCTACCTATGCTTCAAAAGGATTCTCTAAAGATAAATGTGAATGCATGTTACGAAAACCTTTTGAAAATGTCCTATTAAGTGAAATACATTTCCAGAATCAATCTGTCATATCAATACCATGAGTCTAAGTGTTCTTCCAAGAACCCAGCCAGTTCCTTACCCAAAATATAATTCCATCAACCATCAAAGGAAGAGTGGCTCCAGAGGCCGAGAGTCCCTATTTCACAAGGTGTGAGCTGTTCCATGTTGTCCTTAGACTTTTCTTTTTGAGTTCAGTGACTTCGTATCTGATTCCTTGGAACTTTTCCTCACTGATTTCATGAATACATTTTTGTCATCACATAAAATGAAATTTTCTCCATAACAGCCCTTCTCAGATATTAGGGGACAATGACCACACTCTCCTTATAGGTGGTGGTGGTTGTTAAGTGTTGTTGAGTCAGTTCTGACCCATAGCGACCCTGTGTAGGGTTTCCAAGGAGCAGCTGGTGAGTTTGAACCGTTGACCTTGTGATTCAAACTGACTTTGCAGTCCGGCACATTAACCCACAGTGCCACACCAGGACTCCTCTTACTGAAATCCTCATTCATCATCCTAGACACCAGCTGCATCATTTATCAGTGACCCCAGTAAACTGGATGAGAAAGCCTATCCTCCTGATACATGAGGTTCCTTTAGTGTAAACACTGCTTTCAGTCCTGGAATAGCAGCTGCAAAGACAGAGTGAGTCTTCCATAAAGCTAGAATTGAAGACCCCTCTTTTTTTTTTTTAAATGAACATTTCCAGTATATCAATGTCACTGATACAAAACATGGACAAAAACAAATAGAAAGGAAAACAAATTCCACTTCTTTAATTCAACAGAAAGGAATCCAACTTCAAAAATCCCCATCACTTAAATATTTGAAGTTACTCCAAAGTTTATGTTTAAGATCCTGCATGCATGCCATTCCTGGAATTCATCTTTCAAGGACCCAAACTGAACATAATTAAGATACTAGGCATTGTTTTCTATGTCCATATATGATCAAGACTATCTTAGCTATTTCTCAAGAATAGTATTACCTGGTGAGCCCACTGACGTTAACAGAAGTGAACTTAAGAGCTTTGCAAAAACATCTTCACAATGGTGCCAACAGCCCCTGAACAAATGGGGTCACCTAATGTCCCTGGTACCATGGTCCGTAAAATGCCAGCGACTGCGTGATTCGGTCAGTGATGCCTTTGCTATCTCCCCTGGTAAGACCCTCTGGGCTTCACAATGACTAGGATATTTAGTATCCATAGGTTGCAATATATACTGTGAAATTGCTCATAGGTATGATTTTTTTTTTTCAGAGTTGACTAATTTAAGTATTGTTGTTGTTGTTGTTAAGTGCCGTGGAGTCGGTTCCGACTCATAGTTACCCTGCACAGGGTTTCTGAGTCTGTAAATTTTTACGGGAGCAGATAGCCTCATCTTTCTCCTGTGGAACCGCTGATAGTTTCGAACTGCTGACCTTGCAGTTCACAGCCCGATTCGTAACCACTACGCTACAGAGTAGGAAAATAACTCGTGGCTGTGGAGGAAGATGGGCGAAAGCTGCCAAACGGGCTTTTAATGAAGACTTTTCAGTATTAGCATATGCAAAAGGAATTTGAGATACGGGCATTGTGACAAACAGAAATGATGGAGCAAAGTTTTCCAGAAAGCTTACAAGTATACCCAGTCCTGGGGATCAGGCCCAACAAACAGTGTCTTCATGAAGGATCATTTGGTTCACCATTAATAAACCACCAACAGCTCTAGTTCACGGGAACACTTCAACCACAGAAAACAAAATCGATACCAACACCACATTAGTCAGAAATATAGCTTTATTATTAGAATATTTAATAATCTAAAAACATTTTTAAATCCTGGGAACAGAATGTCCAACTTCTGTACAACTGACTGACCCTGCAGATTTCTGGAAAACAGAATCTAAGCAATCGGAACATTGCTGTGAAGAATCTATAACCTGGTTTTGAGGGAGGAGGGCAAAGAAAGTTCAAATGAAGGTGGTTGTTTTTTTTTCCTGCCAAACAAATAATAAGATTAGATCTGTTCTTCAGTTTAACTTTGAACTTGTCTTCCCAGGAACTTTGGTGATTTTTTTCAAAAACAACAGAAAAAAAAAAAAAAACCAGCTTCCTTAACTCTCAAGTCTATCAACCCTGTGGACAAAGGAAAACTTCAGATATAAGACACGAAGCGGGTCATGGCACTTGGTTTGGGTCCTAGCATGTATGTAAAGTATCTGTTAGAAAGAGTCAACTCCCATATTTCAATAATAAATCTAGGTCTCCAAGGAAGCACAATACACAAGACACACTTCTTTTTAAGTGGATCTGAATTTAGCAGAAATGTTCTTTTTTTAAAAAAAAATATAATGAATAACTTTCAAAATCATTTGTCTTGTGTAATATGTATACAGTGGATATGCCATCATGGTACTTTGTGAAAGTCACTGGATATCACTTTAGAAGAGGATTAACTTGCCCTCCAGGTATATTTTTTTAAAAAAGAAACTGAAGATGTGAGTTATATTAAATAGAAGAAATGAACAAAAAAAATCTGGCTACCATCTTCAAAATCAAGTTGTCATCACTCACACACGTTTACAGATCAAAGAGCATGCGATATGTCTAAGAGATCATTTTGTAGAGTTGTTTGTTTTCTTCATACGTGAAAGACTAAAGTGCAACCATGGGCTAAACATCGATAATAAATCATCTCTGAAGTAGGATAATTTTCCAAATAAATAATTTTAACATTACAATTTTTACAGTGTTAACCTAAACAGTGGTATTCACAGCACTGTTGTTTCCCTACTTGATAGTTGTCTATACATCACATGAAAGGTCCAATCCCAAAAGTCAAAGTGAAGATTCAAAAATCAACATTTTCACTATGAGCGGTTCAAATGTTTGTATAAGGTACACCTTTCAGTGTACTGAAATTTTAATCAGTTGCTTTATTACCTATTTGAATACACTGCTAATCTGATGCCTATTACATTAGTAATCATAATTCTACTCATATTAATTAGGTTACGATGTTAATTTTTTTTAAAGAAAATTCCGTTTACATGGACGAACATATGCAATTTAAAAATCATCCACCACAAACACACACCTTTTTCATGGATATCTAAAAATAAATTATTAATATACCTGACATATATATTTTATTTTTGTTATATACATGTACATATGTTTATGAAAGGGCTTCAAAAAGTTTGTGGAAGAATTCCACTACCTTTTAATGCCATTTTTCCATGAGCTTTTTAAAGCCCTCTAGTAAATACTTGTAGACAAAATTATTCTTGATTGGAGAAAGATGTCAGTACTTGTAAACTCTACAAAAGAGCTGATAACACTGTTAATTTAAAAACAAAGAAAAGGAACATGGAAATTCTTTCTGGAAGGAAATGTTATAGCAAGAGGTTTTAAACAATTCTTTGTGGAAACAAAAGCCATTTTGAAAGAAGGAGGGGAGGACAGGCTCAGCTTCTGGAAGCCACATGCACTTTCAGAAATTACATTTAGAAAGCAGTATACAGTGACTATTTCGCATACTTGGCTGAAAGGTTAAGAACATAGATTTTAGTCACAAAAGGGCACAGAAGCAGCAGGAGGTAAAGTACACTGCTTGGTGGAAAAGTTAGGCCAGCGAAGACAAAGTCATGCCCACAACTGACAGAGTCCGCCAACACCACTTGAGGAGCAGGCTGACAAACATCCGCAGTGTTTCCGGAGGGGCTGACCATGTGCTTGTGTGCAATCTGCTGGCCATGCAATCCCTCCAGCACTGCACCAAGGAGTGGTGCTGACCAGAAGGGCTGGACTGTCCTCCCCAAGCCTGGCAACAGAAGCAGCGAGTTAGAAGCAGGCTGGCACCACCGACTTAGGTGCGGAATTCTCAGCCAAAGAAGAGAGCAGGGATGTACTAAAGTCTGAATAAACATGCATCTAGGGAAATGAAAATCCTAAATCAAACACACTGAAGGATGGTTCTTTGAAATGAGAAAAATTGAAGTCTTCCTGAACAAGTCTCTTAAGCAACTGAAACACTGAAACACAGCTTGAACCAGAATACTTGTGGGGGGTCCAGGAACCCTGGTTTTGGGGCGGAAGGGCCTTCAAATTCATCGAGGGGAAACTTAAAAGCCTAAGTATTTTTATTTTATGGCTATGAACAGAACTTTACCGTTCCATTTGTCACCTCACAATTTAGAGAACAATGGTCAAAGATGCATTTTCTATGGGTGTCGGATTTTTTATGCAGCCCCAGGTCTGGGCATTAGTGATCACTGCATAGAACCCAGATGTCTGACTGACTGGAGAACTAGGCTAATTCTTGTAGAAGTTGAAGCTTTGTTTTAATCAAACCTTGGCAAAAGATTGCTTTGGTTATGGTTCACCGAGATTCTGGTTAATCAAGGTTCTTGTATGGACACAAGATGACTGTATTATGCCATGTTCCTTTTCCAATCTATTTTACTATGAGAGGTTTCCAATGTGTCTTACTATGAGTTATTGTTGGCCCCTGGAACAACATTCCCCAAAGCAGTGGTTGTTCAGAGTCATCCACCCTTTCAGATGATGTTCACAATTGCTGTGGGCTTCTTTTTAACCATTTTGGGCCTGATATTGCCTTTCCGGCTAAATCCCAAGGGCTCCCCTTTCTTCGGTGGTCTGCAGAGTTCTCTTGTAGACTCGGCCTGTTCATGGACGGACTTAGCAGGCTGCATGCTGGCTCTGTCATCCTTGACTTTTTTCAGGTAGCTCCTTCCCTTTGGGTGAAAATGGGTCTTGAGATCAGAATGGTTACACACAAAATGTGCGTGTCCTCGGCTTCTACAGAAAGTTGAGATGGGGATGGAGATATGAACAGAAAGAACGATTTACTTAAAACCTACACAGTCACTTTGGCATGTTTCAGTAAAACAAATAATACATATTGGAATTTTCCTTCCCAAACCTCCAGTGGCCTTGAGGAAAAGATTTCATGACCCTAATTCCCCAAGGAGATAGTATGAGACCTATTTTACTGGTATCAAAACTAAGGCACCGAAAGTTTAAATAACTGCCCAGGATATAGATACAATTTGGCTATGAAGAAGATAGGACCAGAATTCATATCTAATTGACCCTTTCAGTGACTAATAGGGGACTCATATCTGGAGTATGATATTATAGAGACTATATACGAGAGATTCATATATACACACATTATACATATATACGTGTAGGACTACTACATGTTTTTACATGTAGGACTACTACACATAATGTACGTATAATGCAGATAGTAACAGTACTGTAAAGATATTATGACACTCTACAGAGCTCCTGGATGGCACACACAGTTAAGTGGTCAACTACTAGCCAAAAGGTCAGAGGTTCAAATCCACCTAGAGGCTCCTTGGTAGGCAGGCCTGGCACTCTCCCTCCAAAGGTTGCCGCCTTGGAAACTTCATGGAATAGTTCTACGCTACGCACATGGGGTCTCCATGAGTCAGCATCAACTTGATGGCAACTATCAACAATAAGAGGAAAACCTCAATAAAAGAATGCTACTAAAGAATGCTATAAAATCATGCTATAAAATCCTCCTGTATTAGTTTCATAATGCCATCTGTGAGGGGGCTTCAAAAGTTCATGGAAAAATGCAACTAAAAGACAATCAAATCTGTCCACAAACTTTGTGAAGCCCCCTTGTACTTACAGAATATTGTTGCTGTTGTTACATGCTGTCAAGTCGGTTCCAACTCACAGCAACCCTATATCTGGTTTCTGAGAAGCAGCTGGTGGATTTGAACCACCGACTTGTAGTTAGCAGTGTAGTGCTTATCCTGTAGTGCCACACCAGGGCTTCAACAGAGAATTAGTAGAGCTAAAAGTTATGTCAGCGTTCTACAAAGTAAGCACTCACTCTCTCGCTGCCGCTGAATCCATTCAGACTCATAGCAATCATACTGTGCAGGTTTCTGAGGCTGTAAATTGTTATAGGAGCAGAAAGTGTCATATTTCCTCCCATGATATGGCTGGTGGGTTTGTACTGCCAATCTTACATTTAGCAGTCCAGTGCTTGCCCTACAGCACCACATCAGGACTCATTAAATTAGGTTCACATGCAGGTAAATTTTAACTCAAGCCTCTCAAATACATTTTGATTAAAATGCAACCTGAAAACGTATGAGCATTATCAAGTGGTTCAAATATAGAAAGGTATACATACAGGCATTTGGATTTCCTACTTGAGGAGACATCCGTAAGCTAAAGGAAAACAAATAAGAAAAAAAAAAAAAAAAAAAAACACTCATTACATTACATCCCTTGAAGGCTGGAGTCAATTTTAAGGATTTTATTAGGAAAGTGAATGGAGTAACTGGTCTCGGCAGCTTTACCCATGGTGCCTCCAGTTAACTGCAGGGGACAAGAACATTCTAGTACCCAGCCTCTGCTTAGTTAGGGAGGCTCTGTGAACACTTGGTCTAACATTTCTGACAAGCAACATCAGCAGATCTCAAAAACTGCAGGATGTCAAATAGCCTCCCAACAGAATGTTTGAAGAACCATGTTTTAGAAATGGGACTGATGCGCGATTGTTTCCTAATGGGTTTGGGTTGCATTGGCAGCTAATTCACTACAGCTGTGGCTGGTCACAGTGCAACAACTAAGGGACAATTGGCATTAGATGTTCACTGGCCAAAATACATCATTTCCAAAATGATAATCTATGAAGATACATGTCCCTGAGGCCATCTGCTGTTGAGATTATTTTCCACCCCCAATAAATGATGCAATAAAATATCTGCAAGCACTTTTGTGACAAGGCTTAGAATAGATTAAATTTATAATCATTTTGTGACCCAGCTGTCACCACCCAGTTTATAAGTTAAGTCCGGTGTATCTAAGTCTTCAGTTCCTGCCATCCTGTAAGTTGTTGTCACTGCTAAGTGCCATCAAGCAGGTTCCGAGGAGCCACTGGTGCGGGGTTTTTTGTTTTTGTTTTTTAAATGTTTTATTGTGAATTATGTGATAGTTTACATGGGAAAACATTAGTTTTACATTCATCCTATTGTATATCGTTTCATTGCCGTGGTTACAATCCCCTCCATGCATCGTCAACCAACCAAAGGGTATACCCTGCAAGCCTGTCCCTGGTCATCAGCACATAGGCCCTCTCCCTCTCTGGGTCTAAAGTCCACAGCCGCTCCATCTCTCCACATCATTGTCTCTGCCTCCATTTCAGGCATCACTGCTTCTCTGGGTGGGGTCCCACACTCCGCTCTTCTCCCTTGATGGTCCCAGGGACCTCCACTCCTGAACTGCAAAGTCAATCACTGCCTTCCTTTTATACAAAACATCTACCTTTACATTTCCAACCCTCACAATCAGTCCTGATAACAATTATTCACTATTGTATCACAAGACCCACCTGCATTTCATTTCATCAGCCTGCCTAGACAGATTGGATACTACTCACTGGAGATTCTACCTTCCTCCAGGCCCTCTGGATCTAGGTTCCCTCTTGAAAGCTTGTAAGCCAGTCACTTCTTGCCTTTGTATCCCCACCCCCCATTTTGGGTAGCCAATGTTCAAGTTGCCCATCCCTGTCTACTCTGTGTGTGGTGGGGGTGGGAATGATTCTTACTGTAAGGAATTGTTCCCTCTTTTGAGCTACTGCATCCATAGGTGTAGGGAATATAGAGAGTCACTGTACCAAAAAGGATTGGTTGACATTCAACCATTTCAGGAGATAGCATATGATCAAGAACCAGTGGTATTGATGAAAGAAGTTTAAACTGTATTAAAGGACTGACGAAAAAAGCAGGCTCCAAGAACGGACAGAATAGCAACTGAAATGTTTCATCAAACACATGCAGTACTAGAGGTGTACATTCATCTATGCCAAGAAATCTGTAAGACAAGCTACCTGACCAGTCAACAGACAGAGAACTATATCTGTGTCCATCCTAAAGAAAGGTGATCCAACAGAATATGGAAATTATTTAACAATATCATTAATATTGTACACAAGAAAATTTTGTTGAAGATAATTCAGAAATGGCTACAGCTGTCCACTGACATGGAACTACCAGGAATACAGGCCAGATTCAGAAGAGAACATGGAAGGAACAAGGGATATCATTGCTGGCACCAGATGGATCTTGGCTGAAAGCAGAGAATACGAGGAAGGTGCATACCTGTGTTTCATTGATTATGAAAGGTATTTGTGTGGATCATAAAAAATCATAGCATTGCAAAGAATGAGAATTCCAGAAAACATCATTGTTCTCATACAGAACCTGTACGTGGACCAAGAGGCAGTTGTTCGAACAAAGCAAAAGGATACTGTGTGGTTTAAAATCAGGAGAGGTGTGTGTCAAGGTTGTATCCTTTCACGATACTTATTCAATCGGTATGCTGAGCAAATAATCAGAAAAGTTGGATTATATGAAGGAGAAAGCAGTATCAGGATTTGAGAGAAGCTCATTAACAATTTGTGGCATACCAATGACATAACCTTGCTTGCTGAACACAGAGAAGACTTGAAGTATTTACTGGTGATGATCAAAGGCGACAGGCTTCATTACAGACTACAACTTAATACAAAGAAAACAAAAATCCTCACAACTGGACTAATAAGGCAACACCACAATAAACAGAGAAAAGATTGAAATTGGCAAGAATTTAATTTTACTTGGATCTACAATCACCACCCATGGAAGCAGCAGTCAGGAAATCAAACAATGTATTTCACTAGGCAAATCTGCTGCAAAAGACCTCTTGAAACGGTTAAAAAGAAAATATATTGTTTTGAGGACCAAGGTGCACTTGACCCAAGCCGTGGTATTTTCAAAATCACCTCATATGCACATGCAAAAGCTCAATTAGGAACACCGAAAAAGAACTGATGCCTTTGAGCGTAGTGTTGGCGAAGAACATTAAATATAGCATGGACTGCCAGAAAAATGAACAAATCTGTGTTGGGACCTCAGGAAATGAGAGGAACAATTACAGGATGGGAAATTCATGAATAAAGATGGGTAAAAATGGGCCACAAACCTCACATATGCACACTGTAGAGTCATCATAAATCGGGATTAAGCCTGTATCATATACAGCCTTCAAAACAACCCCATAGGTTAAATAGCACCATCTTCACTTTACAGATACAGAAACGGAGGCAGAATAGTTTATTAGCTGCTTCAATTTCTCAGTTGAGGTTCTACCAAGGTCATGACTGGGCTTCCCAACCAAGTTAGCAGACTTCAAGCTTGAAAAAGCCTTCATTCTATACTGCCTCTGTAAAAGTATATCTTTCTTTAATAAGGACAAGAAGGTATATACATACACAATAAGTAGTACAGACATCTGGATTAGAATTTTCCCCAGTAAACCTATAAATTTTGAAGTTTGAATGTGAAGCTGAGATGTGCTATTACAGCTACCACAGAATTCCCTATGTTCTCCTCAATGTGAACACGAGTAGCCACTGTTTCTCCCAGCCTTTCTCTCTAGCATTGCCTTTCACTGAGGGAAAAGCTCATTCCCACATACTCATCACTTGCCTCCATATCTCCTATTTCAACTACTTTTCTTTTTGTCTAGAAAGAAAAGGGTTAAGATGAGGATCAAGAGAATCTTTGGTCAGGGTTCCAGGTTGGAAAAGTATAAGCTAATTTTATACTGAGAACCAACATAAGTACCTCTACTCTACATACAAGGTGCTTCTGGTTATTAAAGGCTTGGAGCTGCCCACTCAGCCCTCCTCCAACATCCCCTTTTTGTATATAACAGCAACTTACACCTACTTGTTCAGATTAAAACCTGGATTCACTCTTGATTCCTCTGTTCCCTCTACCCCAGATCTATACAATCCTTCAGTAAGTCCAAATGGTCTTGTCTGTCTACCTCCCAGGCACTAACCTTTCTCTGCTATAAGTTAATAGCCTTCTAACTGGTCCCCCATTGGTGTCACTCCTGTTGTTTCCCATAGAGCTGTCAGATCTTGCTAAAACATACTATTACCTCCTGGTTAAAACCTTCCAATGGCTTATTTATGCATTTTGGAATTGATCCTAACTCTGTAAGATATGGACCTTTCCCAACTCTCTGATTCATGTCTTCCCACTCACATACACCAAGTGAGTCCCCCTCCTAAGGCACTTAAACTTATTCCTTTACCCACAATACTCCAGGTCACTGTGTTCACAAATCTGTGAATACACTGTCATTCAGGTCACAGTGCAAATGGTAGCTCCTTGGAAGGTTTTTCCTGACTATTATGGGAATCCTGGTGCTATAGGATGAGCACTGGACCACAAGGTCATTTAAATCACAAGGCTGGAGGTTCAAACTCAGTAGCCACTCCTCAGAAACCCTATACAGGGTTGTTATGAGTCTGAACCAACTCAATGGCACTTAACAACAACAGGTTCACTGTGAGTTGGAATGGCACTGAGTTAATCCATCCCCTGGGCATCTATCGCACATGTATCTTTTTTTTTTCTTTTCTTTGTTCTATTTAGTAGTCATCACTATTTGAAATTGTCTTCTTGATTTTTTGTATCCCCTCCTCACTAAAGTGTGAGGGCCATGTGCACAGAGACCACATCTCTTGTTCACAGATGTTTTATCAGCACACAATATGCTCTGTGCCCCCAATAAAAATGTGTTAAATGAGTTACTGGTACCCTCAATTTAGCAACCTTCAGGAAATAAATGCAACACTTACAATAAGATTATTCAAGCTGTTTCATGACCTTCCCTTCAAGCAGTCCTGGGAGTGATTTTTGGCAGATGGGATATTAAGTCACTTTGTACACCTAATTCGACAGCATTTTTCACAGCATAAAGATAAAATATCTGAGTAAGCATGTTACATTTTTAGAAATCAGCCAGGTGGAAAAGAGCATACATGCTCAAGGGAAAGATACAGATGCTGAAATATGATTTGAGATAAGACACAGAGTATAAGGGAAGGAACTGTTTTCCAGAGCGCATGAAAATCTTAAAGTTAAAAGGTACCTTAGAAAGAAGCAACTTGTATGTGAACCTAGATGTTGTACTGGAGGTGGTGATGAGACATGAGGGAAGAAGAAAGACAAAGTGAATGGGTGATGACTTACAGAAGGGAAATGAAGAGGATGCTGGTTTTGTAATATAGCCTTAGTGTCAGCTGAGATCTGGGCCAGGCTGGGGATGGTGACCCTCACTGTTCTGGAGGAGGGAGCTGAGATGAGCAGGCAGGGTTTGGGGCAGAATGT